TGCATCCTGGCTTCCTCCCCTCTGCCCTGGGAGATAATTGAGAAGTAATTCAATTATCTCCCAAGACAAAGGCAAATCTCCATTATGCACATGGGGATACTAAAACAAGCATTACTGTTAAAATACACCAGGTAAGACACATTACATTAAAACTATACATTTAACATATCCCCAGATAGCTCAGGTCTGAGCGCACATTATTAAGTGAATGGCGCTCAGACCACATGAATACAGCTTTTCTGCAGGCGAAACAAAGTCTTTTAACAGGGGGCCATAGTCCAGAGGCAGCAGGCGAGCAACCAGGCTTCTCCAATGCAATGTGGCGAGATTGCTCTTGTCACATAAGCTATCTGGGAATATGTTGAATGTACCTGTCTTATGCAATAGCTGCACAGTTATATATACTTATATATTTTATTGTCTTTTGCTACCATGTGGCTAATGGAGTTTTGCTTCTGTCCTTGGAGATAATTGAATTACTTCCCAATTATCTCCAGGATAGAAGACTCTGTGGAACCGGTTTTGGGCAGAAAAGCCATGCTTCATTTGGTCACAAAGGACTTCGATCTAACTTTTGACCCACTGCACCAATTTGTATGATTTTGTCGTATGTTTGTATTTGGAGTATGCTGATTCTGAAAATGTAAGTTTTAGGTGAATGTGATGCATACTTTTAAAGTTATGAATATTGTATAAAACTGTGTATTTTCCTGCCTGTGATAATTACATTAACTCATTGTGTAAGGTAATTGTATCACAGGCAGAGGGGAGGATTTTGTGTCGAAGTGTCTGAGTGTATTGTACGTGTTTATTGGTTGTTTTACAAAACCCTGTGGGTGGTACTAATGTGTAAGAATGTGTATATAAGAACAATAAACCCACAGCTCTGGCAGTTCTACTTCACCCTCAATTTGGACTGCCGTCTCTTATTCCGGGAATCTGCTACAAGGGATTGCTATGCTTGTCATACTCCCTTGCTAAATCACTCTTAAGCTCTTGTAAGAGCTTGTTCCTGCCTTGCTCTCTGGAGGAGTCTATGTGGTTATGGTGTCTGCTGCAGTGCATGGAGTCCTCAGGAAGTGCTAGGAGCATCCTTCAACGGAGGTACCCAGTCGGGTTGCCAGGTGATCTATTACAGTTCTGGTTCGGGAGTTTGGAGGATTTGTGTTTCCAGTTTGGGAGATTGGTGTTCTGCAGTAGCTGCCTGTGTATCTGGAAGGGAATATCTCCTAAACGGCTTTTAACACCTTTTATGCCTGGGGGTGCCGTTACAAAAACATGGATCCACGATTTGAACAGCAGAACCTCGCGTGGCCCCTTTTACATGAGATGTAACAAGCGTTTTTCTCAAAGTCTCATATTATTAAATAATCTCCTGGAGTGATAGCATGCAGTGGTTTTATTCTTGCCGACCGTAGAGCATCATTTGACCTGTCGTAAAAAGACTAAATGCTTGCGTTAATGACCTGCAAATATGCTTCACTTTACTTTTTAAACTAAACAATAGACATTAACACATAACACAACAATTCATTACAACCCATAGAACTTAAACTCAGCAATCAATGTAATACCAAACATATCATCTGACAAAACAGAACACAACAGACGTAGTAGATACACGTAATAGATATCCAGCAAATATGGACACGCAACTAAACCATAACCAATTCTAAATAAGTTAATAAATTTCACACTCTTTGTACCTCAGAAGAAACACAGTTAGACATAATGTAGGTTCCTATGCTCGTGATAGATTACACATGCAGTTTTAAACTAACAATTTCAATTAAATTAAATTTAAAAAAAATTCTGTATTCAGAACATATTATTTTAAGGTATACCAATTTTAGTTTGTATCAGATTTATTTTAGGGTTTCTAATGTATACATGTATTTCCTTAATTACCTTATTACTTAATCTACCATAGTACTGTTTATAAAGAAGGGATCCCTTTATCTAGCATGTTCTCGTCTTACATATTCATGTGGAACTTGCATTAACTTATTGTCAATGTTCCTAGAACTGCACTCTTCTGGACAGCGATCTCAAATGTCCCACCTGGAATTTGTTGAAGCTACTCCCCCAACTTGGAGTCACAGCCCCAAATGCTCCTATGACAACTGGGACTACTACGGTCTTCAATTTTCACATTCTACCTAGCTCTACTTTCAGTCCTTGGTAGTTATCACTTTCCTTCTTCCTGATGTTATAGTCACTGGGTATTGCAACATCCATCACAACTGCAGTCTTGCATTCCTTGTCTACCACCACAATGTTGGGTTGGTTGGCCAGCACTTGCTTTTCTGTCTGGATCTTGAAGTCCCACAGGATCTTAACCCTGTCATTCTCAACTACCCTTTGTGGTATCTCCCATCTCCACTTAGTCAGGTCCAAAGCATATTCTGTACAGATGTTTCGGTACACAATCCCAGCAACTTTATGTCTCTCCATGTATACTGTTCCTGATAACCTCTTGGATTTGGCTACTAGGTGTTGGACTGTCTAGGAGGCCTTTTTGCACAGTCTGCACCTTAGGTCTTGCCTGGTGTGGTAGACTCTGCTTCTATTGATCTGGTTCTGAGTGCCGGTTCCTGTGCTGCTAGGATTAGTGCCTCAGTGCTGTCTTTCCATCCTGCCTTTTCCAATCACTAGTAGGATTTTGTCATGTGAGCTACATCCACTATCTGCCGGTGGTACACACCATGGAGAGGTTTGTCTTGCCATGAAACTTCCTCTTTTTCTGCATCGTCATCAGTTCATTTTTGGGAGCCATCTTTGTGATATACTTGTGGATGCTCTGTGTTTCATCCAGTGCTGTGGCCTTGACACTCATCATGCCTCAACCTCCTTCTTTCCGGCTGGTGTACAGTCTCTGGGTGCTGGATTTCATTCATAGTGAAAGGTTTCTGGGTCTTGACATTCATTGTGACCAGTTCTTCTCTTGGCCAGGTTATTATTCCAGCTGGGTACCTGATGACTGGTAGGGCATATATGTTGTTGGCTTGGATCTTGTTCTTGCCGTTGAGCTGGTACTTCAAGACCTGTCTCACTCTTTAGAGGTACTTGAATGTGGCTATCCTACTTGCCTCCTCCTCGTGGATGCCATGCGTTTGTTGTACCCCCAGATTTTTCCTCTTTTTGCTATCATCCACCTGCAATTCTCTAGTGTGAATGACATTCTGATGTCCTTGCTGTATATCCTAGTTAGATGGATCAGTGAGTCAGTGTCCTGCTAATTCTTGGCTTACAGCTTGATGTAGTCCATGTAGGGTGCATAGCTCCACTCTTGAACCTCTATCCATATCCACTCTTCTTGATGATCTAGCTAAGGCGGTTGAGGCCTATGCAGAACAGCATTTGGGATAGTGCATCACCTTAGTATATGCCACATTTGATTTTCACTTGTGTTATTGTCCTGGAAGTGGCTTCTAGAGTTAACCAGATACAGCACACCAAATTTGATGCTATTAAAATAAAAATAACAAAGGATTTCATTCATGTTCTGTACAAGATAATTCATTAGTGCATCATTACAAGTATACAATACACTATTTTACAATTATAGTGTGGACTATGGTAGCGGTTACCTCAGCATATCTACTGAACAGTTTTTGTTTTTTTTCATGCAGACAGGATACGGGACATATGAACATTTTTCCTTGAATGAATTATCTTAATGAATTTCTTTATCATTTTTTTTAATTCACAGACTTTGGTTGGACATTGTTTATGAATTTAGTTGTTATACTTAGTGTACAGAATATCAATATTTTTGATTTTATTTGTAACTATCGATGTACAGTAGTGTTGATTGAAGTGATGCACTAATGAATAACCTTGTGCAGAACATGAATTAAATCGTGTTTTGATTTTTTTTTTTTTTTTCCAGCATCAAATTTGGTGTGCAGTATCCAAATTTTGTATTTAGTTTTCCACTTGTCCATCAAGTTAAAAGGGGAACTCGTCTTCATTTGGGAAACAAATGAAAGGAGGGTGCCGACAACCGAACGGTGAGGGTAACGAGTCTGCTATATTAGTAATATGTCATAACATATGATTTATCCATGTCTTTTACACACATTCAGTGAATGTTAGTTTTAATAATAATGTGATCTATTCATTAGGTTCTCTCTATGAATATATTCAAATTATTAATATAACATAATTATATGGTTAGTATAGATACATAGATATATACTTTCACCCCCTTTCCAAACGCATTGTTATCTATATGTAAGAGATGTGTTCACTCTAATCAGTGTATTTACATAGTCACATTGTAATCAGTTTGGTCAGGCACTGAGTAGATGTAAGAGAAAAAATCTACACCCATATTATATTCCCGGATAGCTCAGATTCGAATGCCCAAGTAGTGCAGATATTACTCGAATCTGTGTAGTGTAGCTGAATCGCCACCGGGGAGAGAAGTTGGTGGCCGGTCCACTGTGTGGAGTTCCTGTATCAACATAAGCAACGTCTTCTCCCTCTGGCTTATAGGAAGTGAATGTTCCCCTTGTTCGGGAGCGTCTTTTATCAGAACATGGCTTGTCATATTTTTTAAGGTATTACCTAATCACCATAATGTTTCATAGTCATATTTCTAATGTTTCATGAAAATAGTCAGTTTTTCTTAGTATGGTAAACAATCATTTATAGACAGATTTTTCTATAACTTCCAGTACATTCTGTTTCAGATATTTCCAGCAGCAGAAATTTTTCTAAAGGAGAGGACAACAGAAATACATGAAGCAAGATGATGAAATATTTTAATAAAAAGACCAAAGATTCCAACTCTCCAAACTCAAGCAATCTTTCAGAATCCTATATGTCTTCAAAGAAGATAGTAAACATACATTCTTTCTCCTGTTCTGAATGCGGGAAATGTTTTAAATTTCAATCAGCCCTTATTTCACACCAGAGAACTCACACAGGAGAGAAACCTTTCTCATGTTCTAAATGTGGTAAATGGTTTAGCAAACAGTCACACACCGTAAGACATGAGAGAACTCATACAGGAGAGAAACCTTTCTCATGTGCTGAATGTGGGAAATGTTTTAGTGTTAAAGAAACTCTTAATAGTCATTGGAGAACTCACACAGGAGAGAAACCTTTCTCATGTGCTCAATGTGGGAAATCTTTTAGTAAGAAAGAAACTCTTGATAGTCATTGGAGAACTCACACAGGAGAGAAACCTTTCTCATGTTCTGAATGTGGAAAATGTTTTAGCTGTAACTCTTCTCTTGTTTCACACCAGAGAACTCACACAGGAGAGAAACTTTTCTCATGTTCTGAATGTGGGAAATGTTTTAGCTATAACTCTTCTCTTGTTTCACACCAGAGAACTCACACAGGAGAGAAACCTTTCTCATGTCCTGAATGTGGGAAATGTTTTAGCTATAACTCTAATCTTGTTTCACACCAGAGAACTCACACAGGAGAGAATAGTTTCTCATGTTCTGAATGTGGGAAATGTTTTATGAGTAACTCTGATCTAGTTAACCATTGGAGAACTCACACAGGAGAGAAACCTTTCTCATGTTCTGAATGTGGGAAATGCTTTAGTCTTAACACGAGTCTAGTTAAACACCAGAGAACTCATACAGGAGAGAAACCTTTCTCGTGTTCTGAATGTAGGAAATGTTTTAGGGATAAATCAACTCTAGTTAGACATCAACAAACTCACACAGGAGTGAAACCTTTCTCATGTTCTGAATGTGGGAAAGGGTTTAGCTGTAACTCAAGTTTAGTGAAACATCAAAGATTTCACACGGGAGAGAAACCTTTCTCATGTGCTGAATGTGGGAAATGTGTTAGCGATAAATCAACTCTAGTTAGACATCAACGAACTCACACAGGAGAAAAACCTTTCTCATGTTCTGAATGTGGGAAAGGGTTTAGCTGTAACTCAAGTTTAGTGAAACATCAAAGATTTCACACGGGAGAGAAACCTTTCTCATGTGCTGAATGTGGGAAATGTTTTAGTTATCATTCATGTCTTATTAGACATCAGAAAACTCACACAGAGTTTTTATAATGTGTTAATGAATTAACGTGGGAATAAAACTAATACTGTTTATTATTATGCTGACACAATAAATACTACCTGTGACAGTAGCAATGTGTAAATGATGCATCGGTATTGTGATTGTGTTAATCCTACAGAGCAGCTCTTTACTTTCCTCCCCCACGTGATATTACTGTTAAATTTGAAAACTTCTGTACCTTCCATGCACAACTCTTGCATTTTTTAATGTTTGTTTAAGTTTGGTAGTGTTAGAATGATTGCACATATTGTCTGGTTAATTGATGTTCCACATTTATCAGTTTCACCTATCTAATCTCTCCCATTGATTGGTTCAATTTTCTCACCTAATGTATGCATGCCTCTTCACCCGTAGTTTGATTTATCTAACCCCAGACTCGGTTTGTGACTCAAACAACAGCATTCATAAGTTTCACTCAGGACTCAGAGCTAACAAGTGTTGCAGCCAAAGCCATATGAAAACATTTCTGGAAGATCAAGTCCCTCAAAACCCATCTCCTCAGACTATGGCATCCGAAAGTAACTGTTTTGCTACTTCCCACCAAATTGCTTGGTTGCTATGTGGAAAATGTTAAGTCAGTAAAGCAAGCCTTGAAACAGTGAACTCACACAGGGGAGAAACCTTTCTCACATTCTGAATGTTGAAAATGTTTTGTCTGAAAGGAGAGCCTGTTAGACATCAGAGAACTCCCACAGAAAAAAACCCTTTTCATGTTATGAATGTTGAAAATGTGTTGTCAGTAAAGAGAGCTCGTTATGCATCAAATAATTCACACAGAAGAGAAACCTTTATCTTGTTCTGAATGTGTGAAATGTTTTAGCCAGCATGTACACTTTGTTAGGCATCAGAGAATTCACACAGGAGATAAATTGAGTAATGTTTTGATTGTTCCAAATATCATCGTAGCATTCCATGTACAAATGATGCATTGCTATTGTGATAACTTGTAAGTATCTCCTGTTAACTGAATGAAAATGTGCAAATTGACATAATGCTGACGTGTAGTTTAGTGCAACTCCATCTATATACACACTTTAATGAGTTTCAAAGAATTACTTGTAATATATATTTGATGTATTGTTAGAATTGCTTATTTCCCATTTTTCTGTATATTTGTTTATTAAAGGAGGAAAACAAAACTGTATTCCTGGCATTAAAGGTTACTAGGTGTCCCCACCTCCCCTCGTGGCCCGTTCAAACCCCTTCAGCCACTTACCTTAATCCAGTGCAGGGCTCCCTCGGTGCTGGTGACCTTTCCTCCCCCTGCCAACATCAGCTCCCGAGTGAAGCCGAATGCGCATTCAAACCGCCGATAGGAAAGCATTACTCAATGTTTTCCTATGGGTATCGGAACTTACGCTGCGTAAGCTCAATGCGATTTTCACACTGAGAATCTCAGAATCGGCCTATAGTGGCATCTAGGGAGACAGCCACTAGAAGCTGGATTAACCCTGCAATGTAAACATAACAGTTTCTCTGAAACTGCTATATTTTCAGCCGCAGGCTTAATACTAGGGGCACCTGGCACCCATACCACTTCATTAAGGACAATTCACCAAATTACTAGTCCTTGTTCCAAAAAAAGTATTGTGTGGTACTTCTTTTGGGAACTGTGTGTCCTATTTCACTTGTTCGGGGATTCCAGTAGCAGTCTTCACACCTGCTTCCTGGCTGCATTATTACCATGGATTTCATGATGCTAGGCTGAAAATCACCACAGGGTCTGGAAACCCTTACGCTGCCATACCCTTACACAATAACAAAGAAAATGCTTCTACTTTCCATTTAACTCTCCAGCTGCTGAGAATAGTTAAAGAATCAAACCACACAGTGTAACGGCACCCCCAGGCATAAAAGGGGTTAAAAGCCGTTTAGAGGATATTCCCTTCCAGACACAAAGGCAGCTACTCCATAGACCAATCTCCCGAACTGGAAACAATACAAATGCTCCAACTCCCAAACTGGAACCATACGAATGCTGTAAACAGCCGAACAGGAAAAACCATACGAAAGGGTTACACTCCCAGCAATCGAACTGGAACAACATACAATAAATCCCCCCAAGAACTAGACAAGGCTCAGTGTTGAGGGTCAAGCAGTGATCTGGTTTAATGTGGGCTAGCTGCCTGGTATTTATGCAGGTCTTCCACCTGGTGGACACTCCCCTAGGGGACCAGATGGAAGACTGGGACACAAAACATTCACTGACCAATCACGGACATACAGGGTTAAAACACTCCCACAATACATCACAATTGTAGCGGAGAGCTGATTTCCCACAGCTTAACTCCACTGGGATATTAAAAGAATGCAGGAACAATTAGTAAATCCAAGAGGATAACCAGCACAATCATCAATAAAATCCAACAGTATCCCATCACCTTTCCCAATCACGGGACGACACACAGTATCATGAGTAGAACTGAAGTTTAATGGCAACATTCCTGCTTTTATGAGATTCTCCCATGCAAAGGAAAGATTCACCATAATTAGTACAGTAACCAATCCCATAGACTTTACCTCCCCCACATCTCCTCCCCTTAGATTAACAGTTAACATAATTATACAGTGCATACTTTTCGCCAATTCTTGGATGTACTCCATATATGGGGGATACACCTTTAAATAGTAGTTTAGTTCGTATGGTGAATATAGCCGTTCACAGGTAAGCTGTTACATCTTTATACCGAACTTATTGTAGCCACTGAGGGTGGTAGGTGATTCTGTGTAATCCAGGCACAGGGAAAACTCTTAAGTGCCAACCATAAAAAAGGAAATAGTTTGGACAGCCAAAGGGGTTCTGCTACAACAATCCCTCCTCTCTATCCTGGAGATAATTGGGGAGTAATCCTAGGACAGAGGTAAAACTCCATTAGCCACGTGGTAGCAAAAAGACAATAAAATATATTAAAATATATAACTGTGCAGCTATTGCATAAAACAGGTGTTACAAACTGCCATTTGTAACTGGGATTTTATGTGACAACTTGCCCTGTTTCCTTGGCTTATGGAGAAGCCTAATTGCCAGCCTCCTTCCTCATGACTATGGCCCTTTAAGAACAGCATTGGGGCTTATGGATTTTTATTGGACCGTGCTGGCCCTTTAAGAACCGTTTGGGAACATATTGTGACTTTTGGGAACAATGCCCCTTTAAGACTATGTCCCCACACCTTTAAAGTACTTTATTTATGGCTTCTTTACACTTGGTTCAGTAAATGGGGCTTACTGAACCAAGTACCACACGGCGGACCACCCAGAAGTGGAAGTGTGCAAGCAATTTAACTCCCAGGTTGGGAGTCTGCTGTAGGTAAATTGCCGACCACTGGGTGGCTGCAGTTCGTGCAAACAAACACGTGGCGGCGGGCATCTTTGTTCATTCGAACGAGGTCAGCGCTATGTCTAGCCAAATTCATGGAACTGAAATTGGCTACACATTTCAACGAACACCGCTGACCCTTACCTTCTCTTACACTCAGTTTTCAGCTACAGAAACTAAGTCCCATTCGGCTGTTTGAACTCACTGTTATACTGAGCCAAATGCACGCACCGCCCCGTTCGTGCATTCGAATGAGACTTCGTAATTTTTCTGTGTAAAATAGACCGACCGCACAGCCCAAATCTATGGAACTATTTTGGGCATGGAAATGTTCTTGCGGTCGGTCATAAAGGACTTCCAGCTAACTTTTTTTTTTTATTCTTTATTTTTCTGTGCATTTCTTAAGTCAAATGTTGTACATGAACAATTTAGTTTAAAAGGTGAGTATACATGCGTTACATGAGAGAAACGTTGCACATTTTATTTGATAACAGGTATATTCTAGGCTAAGTATCAGGAGGACTCTTTTTTTTATTTTAAAATCACAGCACTGTTTGATGTGCACACTGGGTGGGAAGGAGACAGTATAAGGAATCTATCTAGTGTGAGGATTATGGATAGTATTTAAGTTACCATCAGGACTTTAGCAGACCTGCATTAAGTTCAGCCTAAGTTCAAAGAATTCTGCAGTATCTATAGATACAATTTAATAGCTTATGGCTAATAGATATAAGATACTTTTAGAGGTCTGAGCAGCAGATAGTCTGCTAGCTATTCAACTCTATGCTGTGTAGCCTATTAACAGACAAAAGGTTACTTTGTATCCATAGATTAGTACGAAGTGCTATTTTGAGCAATTTATATAATAGGAGCTAGCTTACTATCGGTTTCCTTTAGTGTCTTATTTAGGATAGCTGTATCCATGGTGAATATATGGTGTATGAGAGATAAAGTTGATTACTGAGAATTATCATATTGTCTCATTGGTGCTTTCAAGTATCACTCTATACCTATCTTTCTTTCCTCACTTAGACTTTAGGTCTCCCCTGTGTCTCTTTAGTGTGATAGTTTATTTTTTTTTCTAAATTCTTTATTTTGAAAGATTTTGAGTTTTATGGGAGGAGGGTACAGAAAAGAATTTCGGGACTGAGCACCAGTGGTACAGTGTTTTACATATAGTATTATAGATAATATTGTTTGGCAGTCCAACATTGCGGAGGCATATGCTTGTCGGTCGTTGAAGTTTCGGCTTGATTCAGTCGGCCGTAAACACTGATACCCAATCTCCTAACATTCAGCCTTGTGTAGGTTTAGATTTAGCTTCTACAGATCTATAATGCAGTTGGGTCAGGGAGATGGTAGGGTTTGTGTGGTTGTAAGGGAAGTGTCGTATCTAGTTTCTCCCCGTTTTGCGTGTATCTTGTGGTGTACCTGTTGGTGGGTTTATCTACCGGTACCTTTTGCCGGTGTCTTCTGTTTATGCTTGTTGATCGTTTCCGATTTCGTCCTACCTGGCTTGGGTGGCGTGGTTATCATGTATGTGAGTACGTGGGTTGATGGACATGGCCGAGTGGGGTAGGTGTCGGTACGGTTCTAGAGGTGTATAAATTCGAGTCTCGTGCGTGGAGAGTATAGGGGAGGGATGAGTGTAGGGTGGTGGTAGTAGAGTTGGGGGTGGTTGTAACTTCGGGTTGGGGTTAGGTGGGGGGCTACTGTGTGGTGAGGTGTCTGTGTGTGGGTGTATGTTTCTGTTGGGGTGTGGTCTGTGAGGGTGAGGTGGTGGCCAGGCTTGTTGTGTCAAGGGGTGGACGTTGGTAATGGGAATTCATATAGCCATGGGTCCCAAATTTTGTAGAAGGTGTTTATGGAGTTGTGTACTATTGCGGATAATTTGTCCATTTTCATGGTTTCTTCTATTTTGCGTTTCACTGTTTGTAGTGATGGGACTACTGGTTTGTTCCAGACCTCCGCTATAGTCCTCCTTGTTGCTAGGGCAATCTTAGCTATCAGTTTGTTTTGACACCTGGGGGTGTGTTCTAGGGGTCTGGAAAGGAGCCATGTCCAGGGGTCTAGTGGGATTGTGGTATGTAGCACTTTGGCTGTCAGTTGTGTGATTTGGAGCCCAAGAGGCGCTATTTGGGGGCATTCCCACCATACATGGATGTATGTGCATTGTTTCCAACATAGGTCGGTTTTAGTGATGCCCATTTGTTTTAGTCAGAGAGGGGTGAGGTACCAGCGCATTAGTGTCTTAAATGCTTGTTCTTTGTGATTTACACATATGGAGACTGCGGCTGTAGCCTCCCATATGTCCCTCCAGTCCGACGGGTGGTTCGGGGGACAAAGGTCCCTCTCCCAAGCCGAGACGTACGTGAGGGAGCGTTCCGTGGAGGTTGTGATGATTTGTGTGTGTATATAGTGGAGATTTGGCTTTTGTGAATGGGGCACACCATGCAGGTTTTTTCGAAGGTAAGGGGTAAGGGTCGTAGTGCTTGCTTGTTTGTTTGTTTGTAGTGGTTTCTAGGAAGCTTTGAATTTGTATATAACGGAAGTAGTCGGACGTGGTCAGTGGTGTATGTTGTGGTAGGTCGGGGAACGCTAGAAGTGTTCCGTTTCGGTAGAATTGATAGAAGCGAAGAAGGTCGTTATCTTCAAATCTGGAGAAGTGTTGGGGAGTCATGCCCAGGGTGAATTGTATGTTGCGGAGGATTGGAGTGAAGGGGTTATGGTCATGGATCATCTATGTGCCAACTTGTCCCATATTTTGATGGAGTTTGTTAGTGCAGGAGTGGTGATGGGTGTTCGTGGCCTTGCTTGTTTAGGTAGCCAGATGTAAAGAGAGGGGACGTCTCTACCAAATATAGTGTGTTCCAGGTCTACCCATCTCTTGATATCGTATGGTGCGTGTAGGTGTTGAACCTGGGCCAATTGCGCGGCGTAGTAGTAGTGTTCGTAGTGCGGGAGGCCCAGTCCTCCCACTCTGTTTGGTATGTATAGCGTTGCTCGTTTGATCCAAGCTTTTTTGTTGGCCCAGATAAAGCGGTCGGTTTGAGATTGTAGCGTCTTGAAATTAGTTGCCTCTAGTGGTATGGGTAAGGCTTGAAATAAATAAAGGAATCTGGGGAGTAGGTTCATTTTGACTGACGCTAGTCTGCCCAGCCATGATATTGAGAGACTAGCCCAGGTTTGTAGGTCTTGTGACGCTTGTCGCAGTAGTGGGGTGTAATTGGGCTTATATGTTTGCATGAGATCTTTTGGGAGGAGGGTTCCCAGGTATCTTATCGCTGTGGTTGTTAGGTCGAAGGGGAAAGTCTGTGCCAGGTGTTGGAGCTGTGGTGGGTCTATGTGTATGGTTAGGGCGCCTGTTTTGTCTATGTTTAGTTTATAGCCTGAAACGGTTGCGTAGTCCTGTATGGCTTTCAGGAGTGGTGGCATGGAGTTAATGCGGTCGGTGATGGTCAGTAAAACGTCATCAGCGTAAGCTGCTGCTTTATATTCTTCCGTCTTGATTATCAGTCCTGAAACGGCCCAGTTTTGTCTGAGTGTTTGTAGGAAGGGCTCTAGTGAGAGGGCAAAGAGGATAGGGGATAGGGGGCAACCCTGATGTGTTCCGTTGTATATAGTGAATGACGGTGGATGGGTGAGTGGTAGCAATAGGTTAGCAGTGGGGGAAGAGTAGTGTCTGTAGGGCGTTTACAAAGGATTGTGGGAAATTAAATTTGTGAAGTGTTGCAAATAGGAATGGCAAAAGCAGACAGTCGAATGCTTTTTCCGTATTCCAGAGACATGAGGGTGGGGATTTTTTTATGTGTTGCGTATCATATAAGGTCTGATGTTGTCGCCGGCCTTTCTGTTGGGGATGAAGCCTACCTGATCCGGGTGGATTAGTTTGGTTAGGTAGGGATTAGGCGATTAGCCAGAATTTTCGTAAACAATTTGATGTTAGTATTGAATTGAATAGTTTGCAAAGGTATGGGACGAGTGTATTCGTGAATGTTTTGTAGTATAGGCCGGTATACCCGTCCGGGCCTGGGCATTTGTTCGGTTTGTGATTTTTAATGGCTTTTGCCACTTCCTCTTCTGTGATTGGGGCAGCTATTTGGTCCGCTCCTGTCTGATTGAGAACTGGTAGTGTGGTTGCGGATAGGTATTGGTTCGTCAAATCTTGGAGGGCGTTCGGTTCTAGGCGTGCCTGAGTGTTGTGGTCATATAAGTCTGCAAAGTATGTTTGGAAAACGCCCGCTATCTGGTCTGGCAGGTCTTTTATATGTCCATTTGAGGTGCAATTTTGTCGATGTGCTTGTGTGCAGTGCGTTGGCGTAGTCTACGAGCTAGTAGTGTGTCTGCTTTGTTAGATTTTTCGTAAAAAAGCTGTTTGGTCCATTGGAGGGCCTTAGTTGCGTCTTGCGTCATGAATTATTTTAGTTCTATTTGACGGGCCGTGATTTGTGTTAGTAGATTTGGGGTTGGGTTTTCTTTAAACTGGATCTCTAGTGTTCGTAGGTGTTTGAGGGTATGTTCTAGTTTCTGTAGGCGTTGTTTTTTTTGGATTCAAGGCTAGATTTATGAACACGCCTCTGATGACCGATTTGTGCGCTGCCCATAGTATCCCTTCGGATTGTACAGAGGGAGAATTTATTGTGAAGTATTCAGCTATCGCGTTTTGGACGGTTTCTCTGTTGGTCGGGTTATGAAGCAGTGTGGGGTTCAGGCGCCAAGTCCAAGGTCATGCTATGTTTGGTAGGTTTATTTTCAGGGTGATATCTGCGTGGTCTGACCACGTTATAGAGCCCATGTTCGAGGTTTTAATATATTCGTGAGGGCCGGGGAGGTGAGGAACATATCAATTCTAGAGTGGGAGTGGTGAGGGTGCGAGTAAAAAGTATAATCCTTCGTTGCAGGGTGTTGGACTCTCCAAACGTTTAGTAGATTGGTGTCATTCGCGAATGCGAGTAGAAGTTTGGCTGTCGGTGGTAGGTTGCGCGGGGGTGGTCCTTCACGGTGTCTGTCGTGGGTTGGGTGCATTGTGGCGTTGAAATCGCCTCCCACGATTAGGTGGTGGGAAGGGAAGAATTTTAGGTGGGCCTGCATGGTGTGCCAGAACTGTACGTTCGGGTTATGAGGTGCGTATATAGACGTGAATGCATATTTTTGAGGCCCTATGCGTCCCGCTATTGTTAGATATCTTCCGTGTAGGGGGCATGATTTTCTGTAATACTTATTTTGTAATATTTCTTTAATTGGAACTCAACTGCAGCATTTCTTGGTTGCAACAACAATAAGGTTCACCTCCTTTTATATTGGTATGAAACTATGGTCACTGTACCTTTAAATATCCATGTAGGTAAAATTAGGCTTTGTAGTAATCCCTTATGAGTAAGAGGAATAATTAGACAAAGTGACACTTTAGTGAGTTTTAGATACTGTGTAATATAAATAATAGTAATTGACTTGTTTGGTAAAAGTATTACTTAACTTAAAGGCAGTTCTGGCACTGGAAGGGTTAATTCACCCAATGAAGGAGAAATTAGAAGTCCGTTTCAACAAGCTGAGAACTAGGAGTGGAGAGTGGGGAAGTCCGTTTTAACAAGCCGAGGTCTGGGAGTGGAGAAGGTAGAATTCAGAGTTACAAGCCGAGGTCTAGGAGTGGAGAAGGTAGAAATCCGTTTACAAGCCGAGGTCGAGAAGTGGAGAAGGTAGAAATCCGTTTACTAGCCGAGGTATAGAAGTGGAGCAGGTAGGATCAGAAGTAGAGCAGCTGATCTTCATGCAGCACCTGTGCGAATAATCCAGCCCTTTGAATCTGGCGCGGTCCTCCTAAGTATCGTGGAGGGACCGCGTCAGAGAAAGGGGCGGGGCTGAGCGCCGTGAACCCGGAAGTGGGTTCCGGCGATAAATTACATGCCATGCTATACCTGACAGTACCCCCTTCCCATGGGGCATCCTCTGGGTGCACTATTTCGGTTTGGAGGGATAGCGTTTGTGAAAGGCAGTAACTAACCTCCTAGCATGTACATTAGATGAATCTTCCCAAGTGTCTTCATCAACTCCATAACCTTTCCATCTGATAAGGTATTGTAAGGAGCCACGGTGGACACGAGAATCCAAAATTTTGTGAATTTCATATTCTTCTTCACCTTGGACAATGATAGGTTCAGGAGTTGTTACTATTTCCCTATAAAAAGGATCAGGGATGTGTGGTTTAAGTAAGGAGACATGGAATACTGGATGAAGTTTAAAACTTGGAGGAAGTTTTAGTTTAACAACGTTATCATTAATGATAGTAATTACTTGAAAGGGACCAAGAAAAAGAGAGCTCAATTTCTTTGAAGGACGGCTTGTGGTAATATTCCTTGAAGAGAGCTAGACAAGATCCCCTACCTTGTAAGGAGGGGGAATTCTTCTATTATTGTCAAAAAACTTTTTCTGGTTATTTTGGGCGAGTTGAAGATTCTCCCGTAATTTGAGAAATAGAGAAGACATAAATTCATTTTTTGATGTAACAGTAGGATTGGATGAAGTAATGGTTTGGATGGGGAATGAAGACGGATGAAAACCATAGTTGGAGAAGAAAGGAGTCATTTTCGTACTAGAATGAATGGTATTATTGTAAGAAAATTCGGCCATAGGTAACCATGTGGTCCAGTCATCTTGGAGGTATGAACAATAACATCGAAGATATTGTTCCAAACATTGGTTAACCCTTTCTGTTTGCCCATTAGTTTGGGGATGATAAGCGGAAGAGAGTTTGCGTTGAATTTGAAGGGAGAGACACATCTCTTTCCAGAATTTGGAGGTAAATTGTGTCCCCCTATCAGAAATAATTTCTTCAGGAAGACCATGAAGTTTCACAATATTGTCAATAAAGACCTTAGACAATTCTACAGAGGAGGGTAATTTTTTTAAAGAAATGAAATGGGACATTTTTGTGAAGCGATCCACAACGACAAGAATAGTGGTGAAATGTTGAGAAGGTGGAAGATCAACGATAAAATCCATAGAAATGGATTGCCAAGGTTTTTCTGGAATAGGTAAGTTAAGTAGTAATCCAAAAGGTTGATTATGTTCTGGTTTAGACCTTTGACAGATAGGACATGTTTTGACATATAATGCAATGGTTCTATCCTGGCGAGGCCACCAATAATATCGTGAAGTTAGTTCAAGTGTTTTCTTTATTCCAGGATGTCCAGCTAGGGGGGAATCATGAACCATCTTAAGTAATTTATTCCTAAGAATGGGAGGAATATAAATTCTATTTTTAAAATAAAATAGACCATCCTTTTTTGTTAGTATAGGTGTTTTGGGAAGTTCAAGATCCTTCTGATTCAAATTCTTTATGTCATCATGAAGAGAAGAGAGGATTCCTATTATTTTGGTAGAAGGATAATCATCAGTAGTAGTTTTAGAAGGAATTCGAGAAAGAGCGTCAGCCTTTTTATTTCTATTTCCAGGTCTGTATATTAATTGGAAGTTAAATCGGTTAAAGAATAGGTTCCATCTAACTTGTCTAGCTGTAAGGGTTTTGTTAGTATAGAGATATTCAAGATTTTTATGGTCAGTATAAACTATTATAGGTTGTTTTGTATCTTCCAGAAGATGACGCCAATTTTCGAAGGCAGCTTTAACACTTAATAATTCTTTTTCACCAATAGGATAATTTTTTTCAGCAGAGCTCAAGGATCTGGCAACTGGATGAAGTGGATCTTGTGGAGTCTTTTGTTGAGAAAGAACTGCTCCGATGGCTGCATCTGATGCATCAACTTCAAGAACATATAGGAATGTTGGATTAGGTAGTTGTAGAATAGGTGCAGTTGTAAATCTTTTTTTTAATTCGTCGAAGGCTGTTTGAGCATCTTTATTCCAATTAAAAGGACGTTTACTACTGTTGAGGAGGTTAAGAGGATGTGATACATCCGAATAGTTTCTAATAAATTTTCTATAGAAGTTTGCAAATCCAAGAAAACGTTGTAATTCTTTTGTAGTAGTAGGAGCAGGCCAATCAATAATACATTTGATTTTGGAATTATCCATCTTCAAAGAATGAGGTGAAATAATGTATCCTAGAAAAGAGAATTCAGTAACCTCAAAAAGGCATTTTTCTGGTTTAGCGTATAATTTATGAGTTCTCAGTCTAGATAGAACCCATCTAACATGTTTCCTATGTTCATCCAAATTGTTA